CTTTAATACGACTTCCAGTCATATCACGTGTGTGTGTGCGTGTGTATGTGTGTGTGTGTGTGTGTGTGTGTGTGTGTGTGTGTGTGTGTGTGTGTGTGTGTGTGTGTGTGTGTGTGTGTGTGTGTGTGTGTGTGTGTGTGTGTGTACGTGTGTACATATCAGGATTGGTTATTATTATATCTTAAAAATATATTTAAAAATCCGATTTTTTATCAGATTTTTTTTATTCAAATCATATTCTTTTGATGTATTTTTTTTATCAGCATTAAAATATTTGGAAAGCTATTATATATTCCACACATTAGTTTAAAACGTATTTTGGAGTGTTTGTGTCATCTTGTGTCATGAACCTGTCAAGCAGCCCAGTTGCCATTGGTCAGGATCGCATCTCTCTCGGTCTTGACTGTCAAGCTTAATGTACCTGGTAAGAAAAGGGATCCAGTGTGGGAACATTTTACCAAAATAACTTAAAAGTCTGGGGAATATGCAAACAGTGTAAACTTAAGGAAAGAATAGGAAGAATGAAATCTCAGAGAAAAAATGTTAACAAAATGAAATAGAAGAGGATTTGGATGATCCAGGTAAGACTGAAAATCTGACTCCAAAGGTACCTCAAAGAAGTGTTGCAACTCCAGCATTGCAGAAAGAATGTCCAACTTCTGCCCCCAAGTTTTTTTTTTTTTTCAAAGCTTAAAGCAACAACTTTAGACACATTTCTTACAAAGATAACTTCTTATTAAAAAAAAAACCTTGATGAAAAAGTCGCCAAAACGGTCTTTGCAACCAGGTCTTCATTTAGATTGGCAGAACATCCTAAGTTTTGTAAAATGTTTGGGAATTTGAGGCCAGGATACACTCCTCCAACAAGAAAAGCAATTGTAGACAAATTCCTACCCATGATATATGAAAAAAAATGCAAAGTGTACCGCAGAGCTGAGAGATGAAACTGTTTGTCTGTCTTTAAATGGTCTAACATTCACAACGAGCCTATTATATGTGTTGCTGTGACAACCTCACATGGCCATATATCTAGTGGCCAGCCTCATACGGTTGAATATCTAGAAGAGCTCTCCAAATCAGTATTTCAGACTTGTAAAGAACTTGCAATATTGTAAAAGGATGTGCATTAGCACTTTACTTCTCAGACACAAGTTTCACTACAATAAAACCCTTTGATTTAATTTTTCATGGGATGTGGATTTTTTTGTTGCATTGTAAAAGGAAGTTTTTAATGTGCAATTCCACAGGAATATATAAAACTGGTGCAATTATGTGTTTACTCTTATAATTTTTCTTTAATTTCCATGTGTGTGTACGTGTGTGTGTGTGTGTGTGTGTGTGTGTGTGTGTGTGTGTGTGTGTGTGTGTGTGTGTGTGTGTGTGTGTGTGTGTGTGTGCGTGGGTGTGTGTGTATGTGTGTGTTTGTATAAATGTATGTGTATATATACATACATGTGTGTGTGTGTTCATATGCATATGAATACACACACACATCCACGCACACACACACACATACATACATATATATATATATATATATATATATATATATATATATATATATTCATCTTGTGCTCTGTCCTACGACAGGTCCTTTTTGGCATCCATTTTCTCCATGACCCTTATTCTCTGTTAAGTCACTTAATATGCCCAGGCTTTTACCGAAGACCATATCCTGGGATGTCTGCCATAAATACAAAGGAAACATTAGTCAGGGTGGTTTGCCGTTGCCTTCCCTGAGTGAATATGTATGTGTATTCACACACATGTCTGTGTGTGTGTGTGTGTGTGTGTGTGTGTGTGTGTGTGTGTGTGTGTGTTCCTTTGATTTTTTTTTTTTTTTTTTTTTTGTTTGTATAAAGCATTTATATATTTATCTAACTCACCTTTACTCCACGAGTGTAGGCGCAACTGAAAGAATTATAGAAAAAATCTTGGGAGAATGAAGAATGAGAAAAAGAGATTAGAAAGAGGAAAATGAAAAGAAATTTAGAGAAAAAAAAAAAAAAAAAAAAATCGAATCCACCCAAAGCCATCATGAACCGAATAGCCCACACTGATTCTTTGCATGGCACGTTACCCCTAATCTCCCCATTACGAGACACGCACTAAACGCACTATTATCTGACTTCACGTATTTAACCTCGCACGAAATATGACCCTCGGCCTTATCTCTCTTATCGCACTTACATATTTATATACTCTCGCGCTAATGAAGACCCCTTGCTGTGTCCCTTCAACCCTCCCCCTCCCCCCCCCCCCCCCCCTCCTCCTCCTCCTCCTCCTCCTCCTCCTCCTCCTCCCCCTCCCCTAGTCCTATCCTTTCCCCATCCCCATCCTTTCACACTCCCCCCCTTACCCTTACCCTTACCCTTACCCTCCTCCCCCCTTCCCATTCTCCCTCCCTTCCTCTCCCCCTTTTTCCTTCCTTCCCCTCCCTCTTCTCCCCCCATCCCCTCCCTCCCCTTCCCCTCCCTCCCCCTCCCTCTTCTCCCCCCTCCCTCCCCCTCCCTCCCTTCCCATTCCCATCCTCCCCCTCCCTCCCTCCTCCTCCCCTCCCCCTCCCTCCCTTCCCTCCCTCCCCCTCCCCCCTCCCCTTTCTCCCCCCTTCTCCTCCCTCCCCCCCTCCCCCTCCCCCTCCCCCCTACCCCTTTCTCCCCCCATCTCCCTTCCCGCTCCTTTTGATAACGATCATATAATTACTTTGAATTAGAGAGAAGTTTAATCCAATGCAACTCGAGCTTGTTATCGAGGAATCGCTGCTGGAAGATGACGGGGCTCTCTCGGGCGGAAAAGGGGAAGAAGAAAAGAAGGAAGAAGAGAGAAGGAGGAGGAAGGAGGGAAGGAGGAAAGGAAGGAGGGAGGAAAGGGAGGAGAGGAATGAGGGAGGGAAGGAGGAAAGGAAGGAAGGAGGGAAGGGAGGAGAGAGGGAAGAAGGAAAGGGAGGAGGGGGGGGGGAAGGAGGAAAGGGAGGAGGGAGGGATGGAGGGAAGGGAGGAAAGGGAGGAGGGAAGAAAAGAAGGAGGGATGGGATGGAAGGAAGAAGAGAGAAGGAGGAGGGAGGAAAGGGAGGAGGGAAGAAAAGAAGGAGGGATGGGATGGAAGGAAGAAGAGAGAAGGAGGAGGGAGGAAAGGAAGGAGGGAGGGAAGGAGGAAAGAGAGGAGGGAGGGAAGGAGTAAATGGGGGAGGGAGGAAAGGAGGAGAGGGAGGAGGGAGGGAAGGAGTAAATGGGGGAGGCAGGGAAGGAGAAAAGGGAGGAGGGAGGGAAGGAGGGAAGGGAGGAAGGAGGGAAGGAGGAAAGGGAGGAGAGGGGGAAGGAGGGAAGGGAGGAGGGAGGGAAGGAGGAAAGGGAGGAGGGAGGAGGGGGGAAGGAGGAAAGGGAGGAGGGAGGGAAGGAGGAGAGGAAGGAGAGAGGGAAAGAGGGAAGAAGGAAATGGAGGCAGGGAAAAGGGAGGGAAGGAAGGAAGTGGATGAAGGGAGGAGGAACGATAGGGAGGGAGGGAAAGAGGGAATAAGGAAGTGGAGGGAGGTAAAGGGAGCAGGAGGAGCGTGGGAAGGAAAGAAGGAGAGTGGGAGGGAGGGAAAGAGGGTAGGAGGGAGGGAAGGAAGGAAGAAGTGGAGGGAGGGAGAAGGAGGGGTGGGGGAGGGTGAAATGGAAAGAGGAGAAGGGTTGGAGAGTAGGAGGGAGGGAGGGAGGTAGGGAGGGAAATAGGGGAGGATGAAGAGAGGGAGCAAAAGATTAAAAGAGTGAAGGAGGGAGGAGGCAAGAAGGGAGAGAGAGAAAGAGCAAGGTGATGAAAGATACGATGAAGAAAAAGAGAAAAAAAGTAAAACAGCAAACAAACAAATAAATGAAATTAGAAAAAAAAAAACGTATCAGATTTCGCTAATAGAAAGGGGTTTGGCTACAATTTGCTTGATAATTATGGAGGGAAAATATATTGCTTTTTATGTGCAACATTTCTTCGAACTCAGGACGGTACTTGCTTGATTTTTTTTGTTTGTTTGTTTGTTTTTTTGCCTCCTTTTTCGGTTTTATATTAGACTTTCGTTTCTATTCTTCGTTTTTTTATTGCATTTTTGTTGTTGTTGTTTTTTCGATTTTTTTTTTTTTTTTTTTTTTTGCGTGTGTGTCTTACTGTTTTTATTTCTTTACTTTCTTCTTATTCTATCCCTTCTACTTTGCTTCCTCCTTCTTTTGCTTTTCGCTTTTGTTTTTCATTTATATATTATCATCTTCTTGTTTATCATTCTCTTCTAAATTCTGCTCATTCTCCTCCTTATTCCTCCTCCTCCTCCTCCCCTTTCTCCTCTTCCTTCTCCTTCTCCACCCCCCCTCCTCCTCCTTTTCTTTCTCTACCTTCTCTTCCTCCCCCTCCTCCTCTTAATCTTCTTCCTCCTTTTCCTCCTCCTTCTTCATCCACTCCTCCTCCTGCTCCTCCTCCTCCTCCTCATTTTCCTCCTCCTTCTCTTCCTCCTCCTCCTCCTCCTCCCCCCACCTTTCGTCTTCTTTACGGGGAGTGAGAATATTTTCTATAACATATTGCTCATATCACAATATAGACTTTGATTAGCGCAATCTCTTATATCAAGCAGTTGCACTGTTATTGCAAGAGTGAATTGCACTCCTTGCCTGTTATTTTCTTAGCGCTGATTTCTAAGCCCAGTTGAATAACGGCTTTCCATTTTTTTTTTTTTTTTTTTGGGGGGTAGGGGATTGTGAACTTGCTATCTACATCTTTATCGACATTCTCTCCCTCTCCTATCATTCAATTTTAGACTCTAGACTGCAATTTCAGAGCCTGAGTTGCAAAGTCTTCCCGTGATAATCATGAAATGCGAAGCTTGTTTGCATTACGACTTCGATTAATCATCCCAGTACCTTAATTAACTTTATTCTCGGACTTTCAATTTTAGGAAAAAAA